GCTCCAGAACGCACAATCTGAAAACTAATTTTACTTGGTAAAATCAAGGTATTGTCAGGATTGTGTTTCTCCTGGAGGTTCCAGGGGAGAACTCATTTTCTAGCTTCTCAGGCACCAGAGAGCATTGTCTCTCTGCTTATCCTCCTCCTGCTTCCTCCCCGCCCCCGCTTGCTCTTCTTTTTCTTCTTCTTTTTTTGTTTTTGCTTTTGTTTTTAGTACTGAGGATTTAACCCAGTGCCCTTGTGACAAACTTCATCCATTGACTTTTTCACTTTTTATTTTGAGATAGGGTCTTACTAGATCTCTAAATTGTCCAGGCCGGGCTCAACATTCAATCCTCTTATGTCAACCTGCCTAAATCCTGGGATTACAGGTGTGCACCATGAGGGCTGGCTTCACCTCTGCCTCTGTTATCACATCTCCTCTCTGAATCTCACACCCCTGTATCCTTCTTATAAAGACTCTTTTGGTTATATTGGGCTCACCTAAGTAATAGGATAATCAACCATTTTGAGATCCTTAACTTCATCATGTATTTAAAGCTCTTTTGCATGTAAATTAACACATTTATAGATTTAAGGGATTAAAAAGACATCAGCACCTTAGGGAGGTCATTCTGCCTACCTGACATGCAAATTACCAAAATAGACACACAAAGAAATAAAATATTCAAATAGGCTTATACCTAACAAAGAACCTGAATTTGTAGTTACAAACCTTCCCACAAAGAAAACCCTTAGACTGAGATGACTTCAGTGGTAAATTCTGACAAACATTTAAAAAAAAAAAAGAAGAAGAAAGAAACCTAACTCTATGACAAACACAAAAATTAATGTAACATGGATCAAAGATGTGAACATAAAGGAAAAATCTATGTAATTTCCAGAATAAAACATAGGAGAATATGTTAGTGACCTCCAGGTAGGCAGAGAACTTATTTTATTTGTTTGTTTATATATTTATTTGCAGTACTAAGGACTGAACCCAGGGCCTTGCATATGCTAGGTAAGTGCTCTACACTAGCCCCTTGGTTTTTTTTGGTTGTTGTTGTTGTTTCTTGTTTTTTTGGTTTTGGTAAAGGGGGTTGAACTTGGGTCCTTGTGCTTGTGAGACAGGTGACGGAACCACTGAGCTAAATCCCTGGCCTGCCCCTTGTTGTTTTATGTTGAGACAGGCTCCCTCTAAGTTGCCCAGGTTGGCCTCAGCTGCACCCCTTCTGCCTCAGCTTCCCAACTAACTGGGATTACAAGTGTATGCCACCATGCCTTGCTGGCCACGAATGTTTGGTAGGACACACAAAAAAACACTTATCAACAGAAAATTTGTAAGTTTTTTTCAGCTTTAATTGAGTTTATTGGTACATTTTAGGGATACAGCACAGTTACATTCATTGTTGAGATCTTGTACCTCTACATGGCAAGTCTTGATTCTCATTTTTTCCCCTTACCTCTGCCCTCCCTTCACCCCCTCCTCCCCTCCCCATCTACAAACACTTTATTTCCATCTTTTCATTATCTCACATTTTTTTCTTTTCCCTTTTTACCCTTCCCCTACCCGTTCCATCTTCCCTGTAAGTTTTTTATTATAGTTAGATAATTTGCTCTACACATTTTTTTTTTCCCTTTTTACCCTTCCCCTACCCGTTCCATCTTCCCTGTAAGTTTTTTATTATAGTTAGATAATTTGCTCTTCAAAAGACAATACTAATAAAATGACAAAGCAGGCCATTGAAAGAAAATAGTTGAAATTTATACATCTGACAAAAACTGCTTTCCAGAATGTGTAAAAAACTCTTACAACTCAATAAGAGAACAAGAGTTCAGTAGAAACAGGAGGCAAAGAAGTTATACAAATGGCCAGTCAGCACATGAGAAGATGCTCAACAGCATTAGTGATTGGGAAAATAATGCTCAAACATATTGAGCTGGGGGTGGTGGTGCACCCCTGTATTCCAAGACTCTGGGAGGCTGAAGCAGGAGAATTGGAAGTTTGAGCCCAGTCCAGGCAACTCAGTGAGAACTCTTCTCAAAATAAAAGAGTTTTGTTTGTAGCTCAATGCAAAGACCTTGGATTAAATCCGCATATGGGGGAAAAAGATGTACTATACTGAACGACTCAATTTGATAAAATAAAAAGAGGATGACAATAGCAAATATAAGTAAGAATGAGAAATATCTGAACCTCATACATTGCTGATGGAAATAAAAAATAGTGCCACTACTGTGAAAAACAATTTGCCAGTTTCTTAGTTAAATATATATATATATATACATAAGGTAATTTCAGTTCTAGATTTTTACTCTTGACAAAACATATGTCCACATAAGTACTTGTTTTTTTAGTCATCATAGCATTGATTCAAAATAACCAGAACTGGAAAACAAAATGTCCATCAACAGGTAAATAGATAAAGAAATTATGGTGTATCTATTGTGAATATTCTCAGAAATAAAAAGGTACAAACTAGTGATACTTGTAACAGGGATGGATGAACCTTAAAAACATTATGTTGAGCAAAAAAGTCATGAAAAGCACACACTATATGATTTCCATTAATATTAAATTCTGTAACAGGCAAGACTAACATCTATTGACAGGAAGCTGTTCAGTGGTTAACTTGGGCTGTGGACAACAAGAATCGACTGCAAAGGAGCATGAACTTGCATTTTGCAATGACTGCAATTTTTATTATAGTGGCGACTGCATGAGTTTATTTGTCAAAATTTGTTAAGCTGTATTCTCAAATTGAGTGCACATTGTTGCACATAAATTACAATTCAATAATTTGGGTTGTTTTAAATAAAAGAAAAAAGTTAAAATGAAGTTACTTGAGCCCATTTCTAGGGACACAGTATAGCAGGAATGATAAGGGGCCCAGATTGTTACATTTTAATCAATCCTCATGGATAATTATGCTCCACACTGTTCCACTTGTAGGAATAATATTGATCTCGATCCACAAGTGGTGGCACACACCTGTAATCCCAGCACTCTGGGAAGTTTAGGCAGGAAGACTGCAAGTTTGAGCCAACCCTGGGTGATGCAACAAGATCCCTTTTCAGTATAGAGAGGGCTGGCAATGCAGCTCAATATGAAGGTCCTGGGTTTAACCTCTAGTACCAAGGGGGTAGAGAATGAAGGAGGGAGGAAAAGAAAGAAGGAGAGGGGAAGGAAGGAAGAAAGGAAAGAAGAAAGGAAGGAAGGAGGGGTATTGGTGTTGGATAACAAATCAACAGTTGCCTAGCTATGGATGTGTTTCCTTCTTTCATTCTTTTTTGTTTGTTTGTGTTTTTATTTTCATGGTACTGGGGATCGAATTCAGGACCTTGTGCTTTGGAGGCAGGCACGGCACCACTGAGCTAAATCCCCAGCCCTCTTCATTCATTCTTACTAAGGGAAGTTTGCTTGGAGATAAACAAGAGAAACCAAAATAAACATACATTATCAATGCAGAGAAAGCAGTTTATTTGCAAAGGACAAATTCTTTCCCATAAAGGCATCCATGAGTGGCATCAATAGGCTTCCAGCTAACTGGATACAAAGTACTGCCCACTTACCGTAGCTGGCTAGATACCACACCATCCACCCACTTATCCTGGAAGAAGAGCAGATAGGCAGGACGCCCGATGGAGCCTTCTCTTCAGAGAATGCAATAGCATACATGAAGAGCACTCATAGTCATGCTTCCTTTCTGTACCACTCCTATAAAAGAAGAGTCACGTCCCTGGCAAATTAGATGAAACCGAAAGGCTCTATCTCCATTCTTTAGTATTTTCCTTCATTACCTCATATATCTTCCCCATCTTCTTTTCCCCTGTTTGTTTTGCCTGTTGAAATTTTTCCTATCCTTCATGATCAGCTCGAGTGATGCGTTCATCAGGCCTTATATCATCATAGTCAAAGCCCCCCTCTCTGCCCTGAACTCCTATGGCATGTGACTTGAAGAGCTCTTAGAAAAATTTCAACTTGCCTTTTTACTTATCCATGTGCATTCCACACCTACTGTGTTACATTGTGATCTACTTGATTATAGAAACTATAACTCATGATCTCAGTTAAGTGTAGCCTGCACAGATCCTAGTATATAACACATTGCATTTGGTGGTTGTTTTATACACAACCATTGTAGAAAGGATGATTTGGTCATTGCTGATTTATATCTCTGAGCTTTTGCTTGTGCCTCACTTCTTCCAAGAAAACTTTTCTCACAAGTGTAAACTTCCTCCAAGAAAACTACTTCTCAGATCTCCTGGTGGTTTCTACAGCACTCTGGGCATAAATCTATCTTATCACTTACCATCACCATCAACAATGCATGATAAGGCAATTAATTATTACCTGTTTCATCCAATTATTCATAAGCAAAAAGCCTAGTCATTTTCACCTTACCTTCATCTAGCCCAGGCTTTCCTAATAGCATGCACTTCCTAAATATTTATCAAACAGAACAATCTGTTCAGAAGTCAGACCAGACCAAAACTGTCCTGAGATCTGATTCTCAGAAAAAGTTCAGCATGAATAGCTTTCCCACCTTGCTCCCACACATCTGGGTGAAACAGCAGACTCAGATGTTTCCTAGGGCCTTTAAATACCAAGATCGTGTGTTCCAGGGATTCCTTAGCAGAACAAATTGTTGAGCACAAAAGAGGAGAGCCCAAAAGTCTTTAAGATGGGCTCCCTGCCTCTGGGATGGCTGGACACATCAAAAAGAATTCTTGACCCTCTATCGTCGTAGGCTTTCCTCTCCTTTAGCAGGGTTCTCTCTCCCTCTGTCCTCAATGCCCTCTTATGCTTCCTCATTCTCCCAGCTTCACCTCTTCTTTTCCTCTTCCCTTGTCTCCTTCTCTATCAGTGTCACCCCACTTTCCTAGTGCCGCTGCTCCTGTTTCGTTTAATTCGCTGTCGCTTTCTTGACAGTAGGGTTTCTCTCAGGTCCTTCTTCCCATATCTTGCCCCTCACCCCAGAACCCCCTTCCCACGCTCCCCCGCTTTCCGCCTAGCGGGAAGCAGGGCCTCCTCAGGAAGCCCAGAGGCGGGAGGTGGGTGGGCCCGGCGCTGCGGTCCCGCCCCTCGTGCGTGTGTGAATGTCCGTGTGGCA